GCTTGGGAGTTGGGAGCAACTTTTTGCTCTGCCACTGGCTTCCCTGCTAATAGCCTAATACAACTCATCTCGGCCTCCTTTTCCTTTTTCCCTTTCCCTTTCTCTTTTTTCTTTTTCATTTTTTTTTGAATTTTTTAGATAAATAAAACTGAAAAAGAAAAAAAAAAACTCAATGTCTGTTTGAATAATGACTTAGAGCAGATCGTACCCTGCCCTAGACTGATCCTAAATATCAGGCCTAGTAAAGACTAAAGACCTAGCCTTCCATCACATAAGCTGTGTATGCCCTATATATGTATCGTGTATGCATGAAATCTAAAAATACCAGATTTAAACTATTAATAATTATTTATTTTTTTCAGTTACCTTACAAACTAAATTATAATTATTGTAAAGGAAAATTCTGGATTAATACCTTGTACTTTGGGTTTAGTATCACTTTGGTCCTTAAACTTTAAAGTGCGACAAATTCAATATCCCAACTTTCAAAATGTGACAGTCCAGTACTTGTCGCCATTAAGTAACATTTTAAAAAGATATAAATGCCCTTTAAGTGTTATCTAATTTTCTTTATCAACTATCAAAATATTGACAAAAAAATTAATAGTCCCAAATCCTTGCCTCTTATTCCAAGAAAGTTGGGGTGACTAGAATGCCCACTTAAACATAATCCCAACTTTCTTGAATGGAAGAAGCAAGGATTTGGGACTGTTAATTTTTTATCAACGTATAAAGAAAATTAAATGACACTTGAAGGGCATTTGTGTCATTTTCAAATGTCACATAACGACAGGCTAACTGTTGATTCATGGTAGGTATTGGATTGTCACATTTTGAAGGTCCGGGTATTGAATTGTCGCATTTTAAAGTTTGGAGACCAAAGTGAAACTAGGCACAAAGTACATCTATACAAAATACTAATCAGGGATTTTCACTTATTCTAACTAGAAAACATTTATTTTTTTGTTTTCTGCTGATTATTACTATACTATAAAATTTATTTTCTTTTTTTAGAAGTTAAGAATTCACGTTTGAGGCTTTTGGAGGGACTCACAATTCTTTATTTTTTTAATTTAAATACTGAATTAAATAATAATTATCACTATAAAAGGTATAGCAAGAAAATAGAATATAGAATTTAAAGAGAAAAGAAATGGGAAAATTAGAGAGATAAGGTGATCTGTATTTTAAGGGTATGCTAGCACATATCTGTGAGAAGAGAATCAATTATTATGCATTTGATGATTTGTTTTCTTAATGGGATGGGTAAATTTGTCCTTTGAGAGATTAGATTGCCATTGCATTTGTATCAACCATGGTTTTTAAAAACGAATCGGTCAGGGGTCCAGTTATCGGTTCGAACAGTCGGATCGTTCGACCCGAACGGCCAGCCTATTCTGACAAAAAAATAAAAAAATTTAAAAAATTGGAAAACGATTAAAACTGTTTGAACCGTTAATCGGTCGGTTCAGCGGTTTGCTGGCCAAAATCAACGGTTTTGGAGGAAAACGGAACCGGTCAGGTGATTGGTTCCCAGTTTTTCCAGTCTGACCATTCGGTCCGATCCGGTTTTGAAAACAGTGGTATCAACATTATAGAAAGCATGGATTTTCTTTTCATATGAAAATTGTACCAACAAACATGAGAAATGTTTGTATCAACCATGAGAAATGAATTCTGCAATGATTTTACAGTGGAAGAGGCCATTCAATTGAAGGTGTTAATCCATATCATCAAACCTCGAGCAAATTAAACTCAAAAGTCGTTATAAATTTTCTTAATCGAGTAAAGATATTGATGTTTTCGTTTTTGGTTTGAAGGAAAGAGTAGGGAAAGGAAGGAAAATGCAAGGAAACCTATACAATTGAATTCGGAAAGTTAAAAATCCAGTCACAGAATTTGGGTGGATAATTATGATCAGAAGTGAATTCTGCATAATTTTATAGCAAAAGAACCAACTTAACTGAACATGGTAGTCAAATTCATCAAACATGAGCAACTTACTAATCCTTATATCCAACGAATGGTTAATATCCGTAAGACACAAGCCCATCTAGATGGGGGAAAAAGCATCTATAATCGGAATTCGGATCTGATCCTCATAGAGCATGTTTCACACCGATCTAGTCATGCATTAAAAACATCTTTCCATGAATAAAAATTTATAAAATTACGAAGATGTTTCAAATGCATAACTAAAACGTGCTGTGAGATCGGTGTGATCTGCTATAATGATCATATGCTCAACTTTACACTAGGAGAGCATGATGCCTCAACAGTTCAATTGGTTGAGACCTGCACAGTCAAATATGCAATTAGTTATGATACCTAATAATAGTAATATAGTATAAGTAGTGGAGAGTCCCCTGCGTGGGAGAATAGAGAGAGAGAGATATTTTCTTTCTTTTTCTTTTCCATCTTCTTCATGTATTCTATGTAGAAGGAAGTACTTCCCTTAAAGAGGCAGCTATGTTGGATAGTAATCCAACATCTTAGCTTCGATTTGAAGGGGATATGAAAGAGATTAAGGTGTTGTTAGCAGCGGCAATTAATGGCACAGTTTGGGAAGTTCACTCCAGCCTCGATCTAGTCAGGAAAACGAGCAGGAGGCATCGAGTAGTAATGGATTCAAGTGAAGCTCCGGAGTACTAGTCAAGTCCGCTAAACTTGATTGATTTCCCATATTTCGCTGGTTTGGACCCTCTATCCTGGATATCTGGGGGAGAAGTATTTCGAATACCATGACACTCCTGGGTATCAAAGAGTTTCTGTAGCCTCTATTTAGGCGATGTTTGGCACTGGAGTGATTTATAAGTGTTCCGTTTCTTTTGATGTATCATTCATGCCACATCAACAAATAAATAGAATTGGTAAAAGAAAATCACATTTGGTAGATTAATTATTTTTCAAAAAAAAAAAAAAACATCTTTGCAGTGATTAGCTCTAGAATTCAGGAAATGAGGGGTTTCTTGAATCCTTAAGTTGACATGTTTCTTGAATTGTTTTGATGATCTTGAATTACTAAGGTGATGTGGCATATTGAAATTTGGTAATGCTGAATTCTTTATATCATACAGTTGTTATTATAATTATATTATGATAATACAAATCACTTTAAACGTTCAATCAGTTAGAATCTTGATTTTTTTGGTATATTTTAAAAAGAAAAAAAAATAAAAAATAAGTAAAACTAAACACTTGTAAATTGGAGCCCACTTGTGAAACGTCTTGTGCCAAACACCTACTTACTTGAAAGGGGGGATATAATCTGGTTTAGATCTTCCCACCCTCAATGTAGTTGGGCCGATTTCATTAAGGTACTCTGTGCCAAGTTCGGACCAATAGCCTATGAGGATTTCGATGAGCAAATGTCAAAGGTTAGACAAATAGAGTTGGTGAAAGAAATAGCATGTAGAATGTGAGAAAATTGCAATGAAGCCAGGTTACTGGCTGGCCTAAAAAAGCCTTGGTAGGAAGCTTTGGGGGTGGGCTCTGAAATAAGGGATAAGATTTGAAGTGAAATCCTAGAGACCAACTACAGTCATGGCTGCGGGCCCCCGTGTGATGCACGGGAAATCACTGAATCCCTATTGCTGTCGGTTCGTCATACAAACCATAGTCATAGCTGGAGAGCTTCGTCTAGGTTGTCGGTTCATCATACAAATCCACACTTCTAAACAGCAAAGGTGGTTGGTGCACTCTCATCCCAATCCATAGTCAAGGTTGTTGATAGCTGGAGAGCTTTGTCTGGGTTTTGTCAAGGTTGTTGATACCCAATCCAAGAAGGAAAAACTGGCCCATTTGGTGCACTCTCATCCCAATTTTCTTCTGTTTGAAAAAAAAAAAAATCAAACAAGAGGCCCATTCAGACCCAAGTCTGGCCCACCTCTCACCTGGGTTATTCTGTAACCGAAAGCATTCTCTTTTACAAAGGTTTACCTTTCGTTCCCTAAACCTCTCAATTTATACCTAAATTATTGAGATTGTTTCAAGACACCCCTCTTGGAGGTCAAAGGCAAAAATACCATAAGGCTCCGTTTGAAAAGAATATAAATACAAACATGTAGAATGCTAAACCTTTTGTATTTTATATCATTTTGTATGTATGTATTTACATTATATATATATATATATATATATATATATTTGTATCAATTTGAAAAGAATATAAATACAAATATAGAGAATGCAAAACTGTACAATAAATACAAATACAAAGTACTAACTGTAGAAACACAGAATTGGAATCGATATATACAGGATAGCTCTCCGTAGCAAATCAAAGTTCAATACCTAAATATTACTACCGTACAAAGTAGATAGTTTTCTGTATTAATTTACATCTTAAATTGATTGTATATTTTGGGTCAATACGATGCCTTCCAATCTAAAAAGGCTCAGCAGGGGATTAATTTTCATCCTTATCAAAGATACTGGCCCACACAAACAAATCCCATTGATTGATTGGTCTTCCAAAACAATCATCTCTGACTCTGATGTATAAAGATCATCTATTTTGTATTATATAAGAAAAAAAAAAGTAGGTATGTAGCTGGTAGCCTCAGTTTTCAAATAAGGACAGGAAAAAGTAGAGACAAATTAAGATCAACACTTTATGTTTCATGGGCCCTGATGATTAGTTTGATGATACATCTATTGGGTAGCTGCTAGCTAGGATCGATCACTTGGGTATCCATCTCTTGTAGGTTTGGCTAATGATAGTGATCTGCCTTAAAAGCCTTACAGACTAGCTCAGCAAAAATATTACTCGTGGATGTGACAAACAATATATAACCATTTCCTTCTACCTCCTCATGAATTAAAGTACATTATTTTATAAGGGTAAATTTCTTAAATTACCCTTATAGTTTCGTTAAAATTGACTAGTGATATCTCGACAATTGATTAATATTTTCTTTACAATTAGCACTCATTATCAGAAAGGCAAAAGAGCCTATTTTACCCTTTATTCTTTTTCAAATTTTCAAAATCAAATAAAAAAGGAAAAAGAAACGGTGGTTTATCAAACCCTGTTGGAGCTTTTCTTTGAGAGGCCATCGGTGATTGGAGCTGTTCAAGGCATGATAACCGGCCTTATTTGCATCACTCCGGGAGCAGGTAGGTCTTTGTATGATCGTAGTTACGAGGGTTGACCATGGACAATTTTGTTGGTACTGTGCATGCAGGGGCGGTGCAATCGTGGGCGGCGATAGTGATGGACTGATGGGTATAATGCCAGCAGCGTTCCATGGTCTACAGGAAGTCTTTGTTCCTACAGAAGGTGAGCTAACTAGCATTCAATTCATTGAAAAAAATAGGTAGTGCGTAATAGAGTGCAGAGATTAACATGTTGTCGTTTTATTTTGTTACTTTGGTTAATAAGGTGGATGATACGCTTGGGGTATTCCACACGCACGCAGTGGCGGAGCTGTTAGGCGGAGTACTGAGGGGCTATTGGCGGAGCCGGTCCTTTGCCGGCTCATCTTACCGGTGGGGAAGGAGGGGTACAGTTACTGAAGCAATTGGGTACAGTCACCAGAGTTGTTAACTCCGCCTTCGAATTGAGAGAATCTCTGCCATCGGGATTGGTTGGAGAAGGTATTGAAGCGAAGAGGAAAACCACTAAGTTTGATGGGATGCAAAAAAATGGAAACCGAAATTTTAAACAGCTCCTGACTGGTTTTTTTCTGCAGTTTTTTTAAGTGAAATTTTGAAGGGAAGACGAGAGATATTGTTAACTCCGCCTTCATATCTCTGCCGTTTTTTTTTTTTTTTACAGAGTATGCAAAAAATTTATAGGATTTAAACAGCTCCTGATTGGTTTTCCAAGTGTGAAGCATCTCTTCTGAGTGGGAAAAGACGAAATTTTAAGAAACTGATATATCTAGAAATTCAAACAGGGTATCCGACGACAAAAAAATGGAAACAGAAATCCAGGAAAACTCTAAAAGGATCAGGCTTCCCTTTTGCTCGAAGCCCACGACTAGGCGAGATTCTCATTTCTCTCTTTCTCTCTCAAAATCTCTATTTCCTCTTTTAAAGGTCGCAGCTTACCAACACATTCTGGCGCCAAATCATTGCTAGATTTGGTGGATATCGATGAAGAAAATTAGATTTTCTTGGAAGGACAGAAAACATAGGCAACGATGAGTAGAGTAGAAGCTAGAAGCACCCTGGTTGCCGAACTATACAGCTCCGGTCTACCAATAGGGTTTTGTTGATGGTAGTTTTCTGTTCACCGTCAAGAAGAGATGAAGATGGAGGAAGGAGAAGAAGATGAAGAAGGAGAAAGAGAAGAAGAAGAGGGGGAAAGAGAGAGGGGAGAGGAGAGAGAGATCGGGGAAGGACCTGGTCGAAGGTGGAGATGGTCAATGTTGGTTTGCCGCTGCTGTACCAGAGGTCTGAGGAGGAAGGGGACAAAGGAGGGGTAATATTGGGTTTTAAAAGAATTTTAAACGTTACATGGTCTCATGTGTACGTGGGTTTTAACGACATACTAATAGATGTTAACAGTAAGGGTAGAGTTAGTTAATTGTCAGAAATAATAAGAATAGTGTTAGTCAATTTTCAAACGGTAAAGGTGCACTTAATTAATTAGTTAAACCATAAGAATAAGGATAGTTTATTTAATTCATTATTAGTCCTATATTTTCTTTTTAAGAGTACTATGGATAACTACTATTAATACTAACAGTCACAACAGGCCAAGGTAACTCACTTTTCACCTTAATTTTTCATGAGACAGTGTGGGGGTCTTTTATCTGATTGGAGCTTTGGAATGGCCTCAATTGTTAGAGAGGAAGAGAAAGGCCCAGCTAGCTTTCTGAGTTAGCTGGGCTGGCCCAATGGTTCTAAATTTTCATGTCTTTTCTAAGCTCAACTTGTGAAGAAACATAGCAGACATTCAGGGCTAGATGGGCCAGCCCAACCCAATGCTTCTTATGCACGCATTTGAGTTTTAAATGTGATTTTTCTGGAATACTTTCGAATCCTTCGTATTTATATATGAAAATTTCAATAAACTGCCTCTCATTTTCTAGAAAGTTGGACCCCCTACCAAAAGGTAGTCTAAAATATTGAAAATAATTTCTTATCATTGGGCAGCCGGCAGCCGGCAGCCCCCAGCCCCTAGCTTAGCAGGTAACTAGAGATCATAATGCTCCAAACCAACGGACTAAACCAAAAAAACTGGGGGCGGGGACAAAAAACCAGCTCTAACCATCTTATCGTTGATGAAACAGTTAGGTTGTGTTTGGTATCTTATCGTTGATGAAACAGTTAGGTTGTGTTTGGTTTGATAAAAAAATAAGAGAGAGAGAAAGAGGGAGGGGGGACCGGGAGCCCGAAAGTTGTTAAGAACTACATTTCCCTCAACTATCTTAGGTTTGTTTAGTCACAGCAACCTCCTCCACTGAAGAGTTAAAAAGCCCTGTTAATGTTAAAGATAAAATTCCATCTGTGTGCACTTGTAAGTTTCAAGCGTAGCAGTTGAAATGTGATAATGAGCATCAATTGTTCTGGGCTGCAATTGTTTTTTCTCCCAACTCACTCATGGTCTCTTCTTCTTTGATTCCACGACTTGATAAAAAGTCCAACAACATCATGTTGTCTGAAACTTTATCCATGGAATATATATAGATTGTTGTTTGGCTAAATTCAGTGGTTCTCTCTCTCTCCATAATATCTACAAAAGATGCCACCTTTTAGATCCATCCATAAAATATTCTTCAAAAGGAATCATTAAAAGCTCCTTCTCCTCTTGTCAAATGCTAAAGTTATGCTTGGAATAATAGGGTTCCTTTTAACATCCGCCAAGGGAGGCCATTGATGGGCGCTAACTACAAGCCACAGCTAGCATGATTCAAGCCAACCAGAAGAAGAAGCTCATACAAGGATGAAAATTCCATTCTATCTAGTTGAATCCCCATGTTTCCAGAATTACAAGCTAGCTAGTGGGAGAAAATCATCAATAGCTCCCCTACTTTTGCTTTCAAAACCAAATTGACAAAGTTAAACCAATAAAAAAAGGAAATTGGACTTGTCTGAAATGGGATCAGATCAGAAACGACGGTTTGAATGAATGAAGGTAAGTTGTACAAAACATACACGCATTGGGATATGATCAGTATTTCTAGAAGCGCGCCCAATCAGTTCAGATGTCCAATTCCTGGTGCTCGCTTTTGGAATTTTCTGTTTCCTTTGATTATAGGATGACCTTTAAAAAAGCTAACGCCATTCCTAAATAAGTCCTTGTTGGGGTTGAAGCTAGCTAAGGTAGTCTTTTATTGCGTTCTTCCAACAACAATCATGAATTCATTTATCATGATACCATACCCACTACCCATTTTTCAATGGAATTGTTTATGAATCAGGGGCTACATAACAAGTCTAATTTTAATTGTAGGATCAACTATTCAACTGGTCTCGAAAACCAACTTGACATTACCTGCTGATGAGGGGTGATTTGGTCCGACCTAATAAACAACGGACATGTGGATGTAACCTGATGATTGGATAGTGACTCGGTATTTTTTATCACTTCAGAAGGCCAGGTCACCTTGGCCCTGGCTGAAGTGCAGATAGTTCGAGACAGCCAAACCTATTGAGGTGACACGTAGCAGATTTCTAGAAGTATGACAGTTGTCTCCAAACTCTTTGGGATCACGCCACATGACTGTGGGTTTTATCCTCATCCTGCCCGGGTTGGACGAATATGATTAGCCTTATTGGATAGCACGATATCCACTTCCCGGTATGGAACTGATGTAGCGCGATCTAGCTGCTCCCTGTTGGAGGTGACCTGACTTCCAGTAGGACGACGAACTAGGTTGATCTGCAAGAAGACGATCAGAGAACCCGGGGTGGCTAGCCCGGTGAGGTTGATCCGATGCCTAAGTTAGTATAGTTGTTGCGAGTTGAAATAGCTTAAGAATGTAGAGAGCAAGAGAACAGAGAAATCACGTGTACCTTATGCCCCTGGGGTTGGAGCCTTTATATAGCTGAGTCTTCGCGGGTTTCGCCGATCGGTTCAGTGATCTTCGTCACGATGAGATCTGTTTCTTCGTTAATTAAGGGATAACGTCGTCAACTAATAAGGCTTATCAATTCTGCCCGAATCGGGCGGGGAGGAGATAATGCTAGCTGTTACGCGGATTGATTCCAGGAGGTTTGGAATCCGTTGGAGGGATTTTCGGGGTCACCACGTAGTAGTCCGGAGTTGGTATCCCCGAGCTGATGCTTTTAGGTTCCGAACTGAATTGAATGCCGAAGTGCTTTGGGATCGAAGTGATCTGGTACCGAGGTGGTCTCGTCCGAGGTGTCCCGAGGTCACCTTATCCCCAGGTGGTTGAATATCCGAGCTCAGTCTACTACGAACTGGTCGTGTTAGGCTGAGTTGTCATCTCTTGGTCAGGTCGTGTCCACGTGTCCCCTCTTTACTAGGTCGGGCCAAATCACCCTTCATCAATTGCCCCCCACTCCTCGAGCCAGGGGTCTTGGCCCGGTGCGGGGAGTTCATGACGAGTCCAAGTGGATTTGGCCCGAGGTCCAGGCGGCTTGTCGGGCGAACCGCTGGTTGGACTTGTTCGACTGCCCGACTCTACTAGGAATAACCCAGGTCATGTCTAGTTTACGCGCGGACGTCACGCGATCTATAAACTCTGCGGACGTAAAAAAAAAACGCTAAACCGATATCGACCTCGGGGGTCGTGCAACCGTTTTTCCTAGGAGTCATTGGATTGCTTCGATCTCGACCGTTGATTTTCAGACATAGCGGTTATAAATAGGGGGCCCGAGACTCATTTGCTTCGCCACAAATTCGCTAGCCTTCGATATGAGGTCGCGTTCAAGTTCCTTAGCTCGGTTCTTCCAATTCGGTGTCTTCTTTCAGTTTGGTCTCTCTTTGCTGAGTCTTCCCTAGCTCTCCTTTCTGATTCAGTTGTCATTTCCATGTCTAGTTTTAGCTTTGATAGTCTCCGCTGGGGCCGAGGTGGGTACCCCGGATCAAGTCGTAGATCGCCTTACCGAAGAAGCTACTTCGGGTCAAGAAGCGGTCCGCGGTTCTCCTGAGGTGGAATCACCTCGGGAGGCGCGAGAGGCCTCTGGTGGTCTGGCGTCCACCTCGCACCGAGGTTGACAGCCAGATAACTATGGCCCATCGATGATGACAGCCAGATAACTTTGGCCCATCGATGATGATAGCAGATAGGCTCCAGGCCTTAGTAGCTCGGTATAGGCTTCCGAGCGACCCTGTCTATAGTCTTCTAATAGGTAACTTTCCCTGGGAGCACGGTCACGACGAGATCGTGATTTTCAAGGAGCAGCTCGCAGCTGGTCTTCGTCTTCTACTTCACCCCCTGATTGTTGAAGTCATTAAACTTTTAAATATTACCATAGATTAGTTGCACCCGAACTCCATCCGCAACATAGTAGGAACCATCTCGCTCTTCCACGACTATAACCTGCCCCTTGATCTTGATATTTTTTCTTCCATCCTTACAATAAAGAAGAACTCCTCTTGTGTTCTACCCGAGCACAGACGGACTTACTACTTGTCCCCACGTTCGGGCTACAAGCTCTTGCACGAACTCCCAAACAAGGTCCCGGCCTAGAAAATGGGCTACTTTTTGGTTCGTAACACTGAGGGGTGGCCTTTCTTGACCCACTAGAGGGCGTCCATACAACATCCCTGTGTCAGGCTGGACTTGAAGACAAGGGAAGCGCTCCAGTCTTGAGCGGAGCTCGGTTTTAAGTTCGCGGACTATGTGACCGAAGACAAGCTCGTGTAGGCCGGTCTGAGTCCTGGTAGG